TAACAGCAACAAGAAGACGAGAAGCTTTCTCACATCACTGGAAGTCTGCTTTTTACTCTGTCATATGGCTGTTTGGATAAATGTTTCTAGGAGTGATCCATTTTCACGAGTGCCCTGTCCAGCCAAACCTCCCCATCTATGTGACTGTGATTGGAGTGACTGGTCTGCTTTCACTGTTGGTCATGTACCTGAGGAACACTTTGGACGACTGTCTGCTGGCTCGGTTCTGCAGTGTTTTCAGCTTTACGCTCTACCTATTCATTGTGTGCTGGTTCATTGCCGGTGAGAGAAAGAGATATTAAATTACTGATAATAAAGGACAAAGTTATTGTCAGCCCAGTGCCAGCACAACATATTTTTATTAATAGCCTATTTATTTATTTATAAATAATATAGTGAAACTAAAATCAGTGGTGGTCTCGTGCTGTTCTTTCAGGTACCTACTGGATTTACTCCATATATCCTCCCAACTATGTTCCCACCAGCACTGGAGACCACTGTCGCAAAACCCTGTATCTGTTTGCATTTTGGATTAACAATCTAGGCTTTCTTTGTGTGTTCATACTGTCTCTTTTTGCTTTGTATACCACTTTGACATGTAGGTCTATATTGTTCACCAATAGAACCCTATATGTTCAAATGTAGCTGCAGACCTGTAGATAACTTCCAGTAATGCTCTGAAAATGTGCTGTATTATTTATACTGGTTACTGAGTGATCTTATTATATACGTTTGTTACAAGAGGTGTTCTCCTAGTTTTCAGTGGTTGTTTCATCAATAAAGTTCTTGATGGTTTTTTAACTACTGAAGATAAATGTGCAATAACGCACCTTCCTTTATTCCTTAGAATATATGTATTTATTAATCAAATATTGCTTGAGATCTGTGAGCGATAAAGCAATCAAAACAAAGATTAACAGCACCTTAGTTTATTTATTATTATTATTATTTGTAGTTGTTTTTGAACAAAATTCATTGCGAAAAGTTGCAAATATCAAAACACAGCGATTAAAAAACGTGCTAAATTATTCAAAAGGGGGAAAAAACAAAACAGCCTTGTATTATGAATAATTCATGAGTGTGTTGTTTGCCCCGCCCACAACACTTGCGCCAGGTCAGTTGTTCTGTCACGGCACCCGTCCCAGAAATGCCTGGCGAGGCATCAACAACAACTGTTGACAAAACTGCGTTAATTTTTTTTTAAATACGCCTTCAGAAAGACTATATCTAGTCCATCTTAACAAGTCGGCTTGTTGTTATGGCTGGTAGGTACACATTTGATCCAATACGTGTAAAACAAACACTCAACGTGACTTTGCATTTAATGCACGTTAGCTAGTTGAGATGTTTGGCTTGTGCAGGTTGCTTGAGCTTGACCTAGAGCAGCCTACTTTTAGGACTTTGCTATCTGAAGCCCTCATAGTTAATGCTTAAACATAACCTCATTAAGAGATGTATTTCTGTAGCGTGCCAGTGGTATCATAGTTGTGTATTGATGCGCTTTTTGTTTTGTCATTTTGATTGTTTGCTTTGTCCTCAACTGTTGTGTTAAGTTGCGGAGCTAGTGGCAAAATGCTTGCAGGCACGAGACATGGCTTACTGTCCGTACAGTGGGTTTGCAGTCGGTGCTGCAATTTTGACGACAGGGGGCGCCATTATCACTGGTAGGCATACCTGTTTATTTCATTTTTGACTGAAGCAACATGATTGCACAGCATTTTATCTGCCATATAGTCAGCGCTTTGTCCTCTTATGCTGTTAGAGTGTTCTTAACCATTATATGTTGTAGGCTGCAATGTTGAGAATGCCTCCTATGGCCTTACTGTGTGTGCGGAGAGAACTGCGATACAGAGAGCGGTCGCAGAAGGATACCGAAGATTTACAGCCATAGCTGTCACATGGTGTATCATATATATTCCGAATACAAACTGACTTACTGAACAGCAAGCATATTCAGTATGTTAAAGAATCCTTTTGATTTCACCAACAGTGATATCAGAGATAGTTTTGTGGGACCATGTGGTGCTTGTCGACAGGTATTAATGGAGGTATGGCTACACTCGGTTTTTATCACATATGGCAATTATTACTTTTGAACATCTTTTCCTTTGTCTCAGTTTTTTTATATTCCTTTCTGTCACTTGCTCTTTTTTTTTAGTTTGGCACAGAATGGGACGTTTACCTCACTAAGCCAGATGGAACCTATAGGAAGACCAGTCTCAGAGACCTCTTGCCTTTAGCATTCACCCCGGCTCACCTGCAAAAGAACTGAATGCACTACCCTGAAATTGTTTTTTTTTTTTTTTTTTTTATCTAAATTTACGATTAATACTACCATGAACTGTGCTGTACATGAGGCCATTTCAGTCACAGGATCATCTCTATAAACCCTGCAGTCTACAAAAGTCCTTATTCAAATGTAGTACATAAGAAGGGTCAGAAATGTTCGAACAGCTTTAATTGAATATCAACTTTTTTTAATGAATAAAAGATAAACAGATTGTTTGGCTTTCTTTAAAATGTATCAAAAAAAAGTTTAAGTCTAAACCTTTTGTCCCTTGTTTATTTAGAGAATATAGAGACGGAAAGAATGGTTTAATACTTTATACATTTCACACAAAAGTATAAAAGAATGCTGTAATAAGGACCTATTGAGGCTGTGTGAATTAAACTGGTCAATTTAGGCAGATGTCTGTTGGCTGACCTGATTCACATGCACGGTCAAAAGTTTGGTGTCAGTAAGATTTTTTTTTTACTAATTTTTTTTTATTTTATTTTACTGGTTTTAAGAATTTTTTTTAAAGATTTGTAAAATAGCACTGTTATTTATTTAGCAAGGACACATTAAATTGATCAAAAGTTACAATAAAAACCTTTATAATGTTATAAAAGATTTATATATCAAATAAATGCTGTTCTTTTAAACTTTCTATTCATCAAAGAATCCTGAAAAATAAAAAAAAAATACAGTTTTTAACTGAACTAACTGTATTTTCAACTACTAGAATGATTTTTGAAGGATCTTGTGACACTGAGGACTGAAGTAATTGCTGTAAATTAAGCTTTACTACAGGAATAAATTACATTTAAATTTTACAAGTGTATTGTTTTTACTGTATTTTTGTTCAAATATATGCAGCCTTAGTGTGCATAAGAGGCTTGTTTTAAAAACATCTTTGGGTAGAACATGCAGGATGCTTTAAATCTGGGCTTGATGAAGACAGTTTCCCAGTAGAGAGAATTATTGGTAATCCTTGTGACCCTGTTGCCCCGGGACTGTTTGAAATTCTCCTCACTGAGGCAGAGGGGGCCAACATACTGTTCTGTCACATGAGGAAAACACTCACACATTGTTCTCTTGGTAGGCTGAGAGGGAAAGTGAACGTTAGTTGGTGGGAGAGAGCCACGACAAAAAACAACAACAGATCTTTGTCAGGAGTATTTTTTTAGAGTATTTATTTTCTGAACTAAAATGAAGCATTAAGAAAAGTGTTGACGACAAACACAAATTTTCAGATAAATTCAAATTGAGGACTAAAGAGGGAAGCGCAGTGTTGGAAATGCAGTGTTTGCTGCAGAAAGGAACCATAACATCTACAGACATAAAGAAAATGTGACTGCACTTTATAGCACAGTGTTGGTCAAGCAAACAACAACCTGCTACTAGGGAAATTATACCTATCAAAGGATAAAACTGATACATGAAATTTGTGTTTGCATGGACATTCAAATAAAACAAACCATCATGTGCTTGTATGTGGCTATGGCCTGTGGCTTTTTTTAAAGAACTAAAATTAAAAGCGTTTTAGTGTTTTTTTAACACATATAATAGTGAAATACAACAATCTAGAAGATCTGAATTTTTTAAAGATTGTGAAAGGAAAAAAAGGATTGTTACTTTAATAGCTCTTTACTGTAACTGTATCTAATCAACGGCGACCTAGATCTAATCATTCATTCTGTGTGCTAAAGCTTTTGTTGCAGTGCAACCCAATGTTTTATGACATGCTTGTGTGCAGTAGACTATTCAGTCTTGCACCTGTTTGAAATTCTCCTCACTGAGGCAGAGGGGGCCAAAATACTGTTCTGTCACATGAGGAAAACACTCACACATTGTTCTCTTGGTAGGCTGAGAGGGAAAGTGAACGTTAGTTGGTGGGAGAGAGCCACGACAAAAAACAACAACAGATCTTTGTCGGGAGTATTTTTTTATTTTCTGAACTAAAATGAAGCATTAAGAAAAGTGTTGACGACAAACACAAATTTTCAGATAAATTCAAATTGAGGACTAAAGAGGGAAGCGCAGTGTTGGAAATGCAGTGTTTGCTGCAGAAAGGAACCATAACATCTACAGACATAAAGAAAATGTGACTGCACTTTATAGCACAGTGTTGGTCAAGCAAACAACAACCTGCTACTAGGGAAATTATACCTATCAAAGGATAAAACTGATACATGAAATTTGTGTTTGCATGGACATTCAAATAAAACAAACCATCATGTGCTTGTATGTGGCTATGGCCTGTGGCTTTTTTTAAAGAACTAAAATTAAAAGCGTTTTAGTGTTTTTTTAACACATATAATAGTGAAATACAACAATCTAGAAGATCTGAATTTTTTAAAGATTGTGAAAGGAAAAAAAGGATTGTTACTTTAATAGCTCTTTACTGTAACTGTATCTAATCAACGGCGACCTAGATCTAATCATTCATTCTGTGTGCTAAAGCTTTTGTTGCAGTGCAACCCAATGTTTTATGACATGCTTGTGTGCAGTAGACTATTCAGTCTTGCACTTTTTAAGCTGTTGCTGATCAGAACAATCTCAAGACTGCCTGACTGTATCAGAAAGCACTATTTGTCCACGTTACTCATGTTTTTCATTAAGGAGAGTATATTGGTTCTCATGGGCATGTTTGCGGAATGAATTCCAGTTCACTCAAGTGAACTCGGGCTCAATGATGCGCTCGGGATTTGGAAGGGAAGCGTTTAAGGTGGAAACTCTCCAGGAACTCTTGACTGCATTACAGTCGTGATTATAGTGTAACTTCTCAAGCAGTACGCAAATTCAGTGCATTAAAACGCGCGTTATTTGATGACGTTGCAGAAGTCAATATCAATAAAAAGTAGACTTATCGGTGTCAAAGTTCCTTTGGAGATCCTCCTTTAGATAGCGAATGGGCGGATGCAAGTGGACTATATAAACAGGACTGACCGTAAGATACAGCCTCTGTGGAGTTAAACAGCTGGAATCCTGATTGAAACGGAAGCTTCTTCTTTTTGCAGGTATGTCTCGTTCTTACAATCATTCAAGATTATTCTATAGTGTTTCGAAATAAAAACACAATTCTGCGAATAGGCTACTTAAAGGGTTAGTTCACCCAAAAATGAAAATTCTGTCAGGAATTACTCACCCTCATGTCGTTTCAAACCCGTAACACCTTCGTTCATCTTCAGAACACAAATTAAGATATTTTTGATGGAATCTGAGAGCTGTCTGACCCTCCCATAGACAGCAACGCAACTGAAATGTTCCCAAGTCCAGAGGTGTAGCAAGGAGATCTGTAAAATAATCCATGTGACATCAGGGGTTCAACCGTCATTTTACGAAGCTACGAGAATACGTTTTGTGCGCAAAAGAAGAACAAAAATAACGACTTTATTCAACAATTCGTCTCCTCCGTGTCAGCCTTGTGCCATTTTGGAGAGTATCCGCTGGACGTCGTAGCTTTGTAAAATTACGGTTGAACATAAGGGTGAGTAATTCATGACAGAATTTTCATTTTTGGGTGAACTAACCCTTTAAAATAATATGATATCTTCTGCAAACAAATTTAAGACGCTTTCATTTTATTTTATTTTTTTTGATGATGAATAATTTTCTATTTAACTGTCAGCACTGAAACTACCATCAAACATGAATAAAGAAGACGACATGAAGGAAGTAGAACTGAACGAGATGGATCAGGAAAAACAGCCGATGACCGGAGAAACTCCGACAGGCACCGAAAAAAACGGCTCCGTAAAAGTTAAAGTGCCGGAGGACACCGAAGTCAAATTTACTGGCCTCTCCTGTCTGATCTGTCTATCCTTCTGTCTGATCTGTCTATCCTTCTGTTTGTCTGTCTGTCTGATCTGTCTATCCGTCTGTCTGTCTGATCTGTCTATCCATCTGTCTGTCTGTCTGTCTAATATATATTTGCATATTTGCAGGTGGATTCGGACTCGTTGGGTTTTGCTGGTTTTGTTCTGGCTCGGCTGGGTCGGCATGTTAGCTGGAGCAATAGTAATCATAGTACAGGCCCCACGCTGTAAACCCATTCCTGAGATGAACTGGTGGAACGAAGGTCCTCTGTACCAGATATCTGACGTGAATGAATTCTCTGAAAATGGACTAAAAGGTGATTGCTTATATTTGTGTTAATCATTGAAAAAAAATGGGAAAACATCTTGCCAGCATCTCTCAACTTTTGACGTACTTGATAACATTTTCAGACATTCACAACAGGGGTCAAGCCTACATTAAATTCTCAGTATTTTAGCTCTTCACTACGATAACATTAGGAAAACCCGAGGAAAAAGATCAGACAGATGATGTAGCTAAGCCAAAACTGACTGGCTGTCTTGTGACTCGCTCATGTGAGGAAGCATGTGCTGATCTATGCAAGATTCCTCCCTCTCATCACATTTCTGCTGTTACCACAACTTTTGGCTGAGTTTGTAGTTACGATATTGCACAAGTGTTCGCACTCTCACACAAATACTGTAGACAATCTACATTATAGATTAAGATTATCAAGTACAGTGACCTTAAACCCTGATATCTTCAGGTATACACGCACAGTACTGTGGTTAAACAATCAAAGCAGATTAATAATTAAAAGAACGCCCTGAACTCTGTAGCTGGAGAAAAAGGAAGCACTGATGATGATCTCTCATTCACTTCCTCTTGTTCTTAACCCTTTGTCTTTTATTCTGTCTGTAGGAGTGGAGGAGAAGCTAGATTATATCAACCAGATGAAGGTGAAGGGGCTTGTTTTGGGTCCGATACACACTGTGCAAGCAGACGAGTCAAGCACACTGGAACTAACTTCCATTAACCCCGAATTTGGCTCTGAGAGCCAGCTGATTTCTCTGTTGGACCGAGCACATAGAAAAGGTGACCTCGCTTGGTTGTTTTTAAGGCTTTCAAAAGAAAAAGCCTTATCAACCCTGTGATCAACCCTGTCACATATCCAGTGACCTATTTTGAAATGACGAAATAGGTCACTGGATAGACTGATCGTTAAGTTGCTCTGTTTTAGGGGAAGGCTGTCTGAAATAGCAGTGAGCTGTCAGTTTAAACTCTGACCTCCTGCCTTTTTTCCTATAGTGAATATAATTTTTTTAACTCTATTTGTAACTATTTCTTTAAATAAAATGTAAAGTATATCAAAACAAACTAAAATCTCCTAGAAAATAGTCACCTCACAAACTATTTTATGGCACGTATTGTATTCATTATATAATTTTAGCAACAATATATAGGACTGGCTTGGAACTGATTCACTAACTCAAACACAGTTGTGTTGGTTTAGCAGGAACATCCCTGTGGTTTCCAGTAAATAAAGCCATATACCTTCAAATAAAGGCTTCATACAAGGCAAACGCTAGGCTTTTGTTTTTTTCAGGAAAGATAAAGTCCAGAAAGATCATTTAACAGCCTTCTGGTTTGTTGACTCTACCCTCTGCCTTTCCCCCTCTTTCTACGTGTTTTCCTCTCTCCCTCTCAGGAATCTCCATAGTGCTGGATCTAACACCCAATCATGAGGGAGTTTCAGCCTGGTTCAACAATGCTGCTTCTGTTGCTGATCGACTCAAAGTAAGTGCTGATATATTGAAGGTCAGTTAGTGAGAGAAAAGACAAAAAGATTTAGAGAGAAAGGGCCAAAGTAAGAAAGAACTTATCTCCTGATATTAGAGTGAAAAAATACTTCTGATATTAGCATAGCAATATCATTCAAAAGTACTTTGAATGTAATATTTTTTTTAAGAAATCGTATTCAGCAAAGAAAACGTGAAATTGATCATAAATGTCAGTACAGGCTTTTAAATTGTTACGAAAAATTCTTTTTCAAATAAAGGCTGTTCTATTTGAACACTATTCCTAAAAAAAAAAAATCAGGAAAGTGTATCACAGTTTACACAATATTAAGCCTTACAAACACTTTCGATATTAATTATAAGAAGAAATGTTTCTTGAGCACTAAAGCAGCATGTTAGAATGATTTCTGAAGGATCATGTGACAGAAGACTGAAGTAATGTCTGCTGAAAATTCAGCTTAATAAATTACATTTTAAAATATTTTCAAATAGAAAACAGTTCATTTAAATTGTAATATATGCAGCATTCGTGAAAAGCTATTCTTTTAAATAATTCTTACCAACCGCAAACTTTTGAATGATAGTGTAAATGGTCATTGAAAGTATGTTTTACTATTATTTATAACATTTTGTATTAATCAGTGCTTAGCCATATAAACTGATTTATTTGTTCCATTCTATGTGTTTTTTGTAGGAAGCTTGTGTGTACTGGCTCAATAAGGGGGTGGACGGCATCTTCCTTTCACATCTGAATGACATTGCAAACACAGAAGCCTGGCCGTCTGTTCAAGGCATATTCAACAAAACTGATGGGACCAAAAAAAGGTATGGGGTGGTAGACAGGACATTTGTTTAGTAGAACAGAGACACGTGGTGGCCAGATTGGTGTACTGATCACAGCTAGTGAATACAAATGTTAGACCGAATTTGATTTCAGGGCACTCAGGTGTCTCAATCTCTTTCTCCTCATGACTTTCAGAGCTCTGATGGGATCAGTCACGGGTCTCTCCACGGATGATGCCTCTCATCTGCTGAACCAGTCCAGTGTTGACCTGCTCCTGACTGAACTGCCTGATCCGGCTGAGCCCGGCATAAGACAGGCCCAGGTGGTACAGATACTCTACGCTGATCACCCGCAGACGAGTCTGGGCTGGAGTCTGAGCGGACGGACTCTGGGTTCTCTAACTTCCAGAACTCCAGCAGCGCCCATAAGACTCTATCAAATGCTGCTGTTCACCCTCCCGGGCACACCTGTGTTCAGCGCTGGAGATGAGGTCGGACTGAAGGCTGGGGTGAGTACAGCAAATTAAAATGAAAATTAAGATGTCGATATATTGGTAAGCTGACATAATATCACCTATTCAGGAGAAACTTGAAGCAATGTGGGACTTGGAAAGTCAAGCAGATGATGACAATACAACAGCAAAGGTACATTTTCATTCTCACATTTTCACATTACTGGAGATGAGGTCGGACTGAAGGCTGGGGTGAGTACAGCAAATTAAAATGAAAATTAAGATGTCAATAAATTGGTAAGCTGACATAATATCACCTATTCAGGAGAAACTTGAAGCAATGTGGGACTTGGAAAGTCAAGCAGATGATGACAATACAACAGCAAAGGTACATTTTCATTCTCACATTTTCACATTGCTATATATATATATATATATCACTCTTGTATTTGCACATTTTAAAAACACATACACTCTGTTTCTTTCTTTCGTTCTTTTGACTCAGACTGTACAGGAGGAACGTACCGCAGTGCGTGACTTCTTTAAAGCACTCAGTGATCTGAAAGGAAAAGAGCGATCTCTTCTGCACGGAGAATATATAGGCCTTCACAGTTCACCCACTTCATTAGCATTTCTCCGCCTCTGGGACCAGAGTGAACGTTTCCTGGTGGCCTTAAACTGGGGAAATGACTCTGTTACCATGACACTGACCTATAGCGACCTGCCGGCTGAGGCTCGGGTCCGTGCTTCCACAGACACAGAGAATCTAGCTGTGGATAGTAAGGTGTCAGTAGAGAAGTTAGAGCTTGGGCCCAAACAAGCTGTTCTGTTGTCTTATGCTTTTCCTGGCTAGACACATGGACACAGACAGTCCTTAGTATCTCTGATGAGTTTCAATACTGTGCACAGGTTTGGAAATACTTTGAGTTGAATAGTTTATAGTTGTATTCTCTAATAGGGATACTTTTAGGAGCACTAACTTTAAAGCTATATGAAAGAGTTGTCACGGTTGGTGTAGGACAGAAGTTGATTTCCATATAGAGACATGTAGATCTAAAGCCCCTGTTATAATAATAAATAAAATTGCAATTGAAGATATGTTTTGTGTGAAATTCTATCCACTTTATGCACTGGTGCAGTTAATGCTTCTAGTATATCAAAAGAAAATTGTTCCCTCTTGAACTCATTTAATTATTTGTTGTTTTAGGACACAATTCCTAAAAATAATTTGAAGCATTTTAACCTATAAAGTGTCTATCTATCTATTGGAAAGAAATTAGTACTATTATTTAGCAAGTATAAAATAAAATCAATGCATTAAATCAATCAAAATTGATAGTAAAGAATTATATGGTTACAAAAAAATCCAGTTTCTATTTTAAATAAATGTTGTTCTTTTAAAAGTTGTATTCATCAAACAATCACACAAAAAAAGATAAGCGTTTCTCACAAAAAAAGATGATGGAAAGGTTCTAGGTGTTCAGTTCATTCACAAACTGCCACTAGAGGGCACTTTATGTCCTCAACATGCAAGCCAATAATTATATTTTGCACATTAATCAGCCAACTAAAAAAAAGTCTATAAACGTTTAAGCAGGTTTTTACAAATCAGCAACTTTTTTGTAACAATGCAAAAATATGAATGATATTTTTATGCCTAAAACCCCCAGAATAATTGTTATAGAGCCATATTATATAAACACAAATGCCTCTTTTTTTCAATAATTTACTGTACAGTACTTCTAAGTACTAGCCTACATGTGTTGTCTTGTAGGTGCAATATCTACATGGAAAACTTTATATCACACCGTATTTTGTCTGTCACTTAGCCTACTTCATTTGTGTTTTTACACAGAGACTTGTTTTTGCCAACAAATGTATTCGATAAAATAGTTCAAAACAGATTTTTACTATTATATTGCATCACGATTCATACAACACTCACAAAAATAAAGGTTCTTTATTTTCTTCGATGGTTCCATGAAGATCCCTTAACATCCACGGAACCTTTCCAATACACAAAAGACTCTGTTTAATAGAAAAAGGACATTTATATTTGTCTACTTGTCCACACTAAGAAAATTGTCATAATGATATTTTTATGCCTAAAACCCCCAGAATAATTGTTATAGAGCCATATTATAAAAACACAAATGCCTCTTTTTTTCAATATTTTACTGTACAGTACTTCTAAGTACTAGCCTACATGTGTTGTCTTGTAGGTGCAATATCTACATGGAAAACTTTATATCACACCGTATTTTGTCTGTCACTTAGCCTACTTCATTTGTGTTTTTACACAGAGACTTGTTTTTGCCAACAAATGTATTCGATAAAATAGTTCAAAACAGATTTTTACTATTATATTGCATCACGATTCATACAACACTCACAAAAATAAAGGTTCTTTATTTTCTTCGATGGTTCCATGAAGATCCCTTAACATCCACGGAACCTTTCCAATACACAAAAGACTCTGTTTAATAGAAAAAGGACATTTATATTTGTCTACTTGTCCACACTAAGAAAATTGTCATTTTAAAAACGGTTCACTGAAATGTTCTGTGAGGAATTAAAATAGTCTCCAAAAACATTATTCAATCACACACACAGTTCTTACTGTACTTTACAGAAAACCTGCATTGGAATGAAGAGCAATTCTGCATCTTCTCAAACAATACAATCCTGACTCCTCAAAGCCTACAACAGTAACAATAAACACGCTTAGGGGGGAAAAATAGATAAAACCAGTTCCATCTGGTTGTGGTCTGTCATATTTTTTTCATGTCTTTGAAAGAGTTTCTGGAGAGCAGGATCAGACAGGCTTAGGAAGGTCCACCCAGACCCCTGCAGAGCATCTGTGAACCCCAGGACCTCATGCACAGCGCCGAGAAAACAAACCACTCTCCTCAGACTCTTCCTCTTCCCCTCAGCTGGTATTGTTCATCTTAAACTAAGGGAAGGAGACAGAATAGCATGCAGGGAAGATGTGTCTTTGAGATCGTTTTGAGAGCTTTACAGTTGTGTTGGTTACACCTTCCTGTAACAGAAAAAAAACAGCTCTGCGTGTCTGGTTCTATCTTGGGTGTTGAGTGCATTGAAAGCAAGTGTTTGTGGGAATAGGTTTGCGCTGTGACTTTTGTAGTTATTCTGCAGTCATTGTTTTTATTACAAAAGTGCTTTTCAAGGGTCATTTTGATTAAACAAATAGCCTAAATACTCTATGAATGTATATACATACACTCTAAAAAATGCTGGGTTGTTTCAACCCAACCTTGGGTCAAAAATGGACTAACCCAACTTTTGGGTTAAAATTTTAACCCAACGGTTGTGTTAGTCCATATTTGACCCAAAGTTGGGTTGAAACAACCCAGCATTTTTTTAGAGTGTACTCTGTATAAAGTGTATACTTTATTTAAAAAACTGTGCTGATATGTAAAAATATGACATTTTCCTTCTTTAGGGACCAATGAAAATACTTTGATTTTCTACACATGCCTAAAAAGGTAACAGTATAATTAATCAAGCATGCACTCTAATAAATGCTGGGTTGAATATAACCCAGCGCTGGGTTAAAAAGGGAAAAACCCAGCTATTGGGTTGTTTTAACCCAGCGGGGTTGGGTTCAAAACAGCCCAACCGCTGGGTCAAAACAACCCAATAGCTGTGTTTGTCCCTTTTTAACCCAGCACTGGGTTATACTTAACCCAGCATTTTTTAGAGTGTGATGATTTATTTTGTTTGGTTGCAGAAATCTATGACTTTCTCTACTGTTACTCCTCCAGTACTGTATGTTGGCTGTTAGGGGCGGGAACAGATGAAGTCCTTTTTATAAAAGTGAACTGACCACCAAACTGTACTCTATTTTCTGCCCGACAGCACAGAGGACACCTCACCTCAACTCTGGACAGGTATTTAACAGAGCGTTCTTTAGATATTTTTGTTTTTGAATGATTGATTTATTGTTAAAATAAATAAATGACATTTTGTATCAAGCTACTGTAACTTAGTTAATACTATTACTATGACAGCAGCAGTTATTGTGACCTTAGGTTTACGATCATTCTATATTATTTAAAAAAAGAGGTCTCTTTATTACTAACCTTTTATGGCATACTATATAATCTTTTTAACCATAAACCATACGTTTCCAGATGTAATGAATCTGTTCACTAGTTTTGCTTTGTTTTTAATCCAGTATTTTAAAGGCCGTCTCTACATAAAGAGAAATGAAAGACGTAGAACTGAATGAGGTGGATCAGGAAACACAGCTAATGACCCGAGAGACTCAAAAAAATGGCTGCGTGAAGGTCACCGTCCCAGAGAACGCTGGAGGGAAGTATACTGGCCTCTCCAAAGACGAGTTAATAAAAATCACCAGTACTGCTGGGTAGGCGACCTACACGAGGATTATGAAATTAAAATGAAACATTTGACAGTCTGTCTGTCTCTTATAGATTTGCATATTTTGTGCAGGTGGGTTCAGACGCGTAGGGCTTTGCTGGCTTTGTTCCTTCTCGGCTGGGCTGGCATGTTAGCTGGAGCAATAGTAATCATAGTACAGGCCCCACGCTGTAAACCCATTCCTGAGATGAACTGGTGGAACGAAGGTCCTCTGTACCAGATATCTGATGTGAATGAATTCTCTGAAAAGGGACTGAAAGGTAAATGGATTTTTTTTTTTTTTGTCCACACCTGTTTATTATTTGAATTACAATTTTAAAGCCTTAGAGAAATTACCTCATGAAAGATTTTAGGCTTTTAGAGGTTTTCAATTATGTTATTCTATTTGTCATTTTTTAGATCAGTAGCCTTGTTTTTCAGTATTTTACAGAACTGTAAACTGCACATACTGTATACAGACATGCAGTAGCCAAAACATTTGTTGAACTTTTCAATTCTTATATATTAGCATTACATGTAGTCATTGTAGATTAGTCAAATATCTGCTCAAGTATTTTATTTCATAATGATCATAATTAGAGGTTCATGATGGTATCAGTGCAATATTTTCTCTTTCTCTCATTCTCTGTAGGAGTGGAGGAAAAGCTGGACTATCTGAGCCAGATGAAGGTGAAGGGTCTTATTCTGGGTCCGATACACACTGTGCAAGCAGACCAGCTGGATACACTAGATCTGGTTTCAGTTAAATCTTCTGTAGGCACTGAGAATGATCTGAAATCTCTGCTGGACCAAGCACATAAAAAAGGTGACCTTTGACCCTGAATGGCCTTTTACCCAGCTAGGATTAAGGTGCTTCAAGATGCCATAGAAGAACCTTTTTTTGTCTAAATGGTTCCATAAAGAACCTTTAACATCTGAAGAACGTTTCTGTTTCACAAAAGGTTCTTTGTGGCGATTAGGTTTTTCAGATTATAAAAGGGTAAGAGACGGTTCTTTAAAGAACCTTTGACTGAATGGTTCTTCTTTGGCATCGCGGGGAAGAATTTTAAGAGTGTACCTTATGAAATCTGACTTCTACGGTGGCCGAGAAGTGCAAAGCAAATCACAATTCTGAAAACAAAATAACAAATTACAAATGCAAATGCAAGTCTAAAAAACAAAATAACAATTCAGAAAACACAACAACAATTCAGAAAACATTATAACAAGTCAGATAACACAACGACAAATCAGACAAACCGGAAGAGGTAGGTATAGTTTGAGACAGCGCCATTGGTTTGGGATTACTCACCGCTGACTGGACGAGACATCTGTCAATCAACGTATACAGAGAAGAACCAGCCGAAGAACAGCAGAGTCGTGGTAGAAAGTTCGGAGATGGTATTAAAGTAGCTCAGTTTAAATGTATTGTATGAATTGCTTTTACTCTGGAATAAAAGATACGGGGTGTCTATTTACATTTAGTCAAAAGTGGCTGGTAAACATCAGTTCCAGTGGCGCAGATGGATAAGTGTGTGTTGTTTGCTTTTTGACGCGATCGACCCGGGTTCGATCCCATCTTTTGCCGAACTTTTTTTTCTCTGCTGTTCTTCGGCTGGTTCTTCCTGTATACGTTGATTGACAGATGTCTCGTCCCGTCAGCGGTGAGTAATCCCAAACCAATGGCACTGTCTCGAACTATACCTAACTCTTCCGGTTTGTCTGATTTGTCGTTGTGTTTTCTGACTTGTTAATTTGTTTTCAGATTTGTCGTTGTGTTTTCTGAAAACTATACCTACGTCTTCCGGTTTGTCTGATTTGTAGTTGTGTTTTCTGACTTGTTATTTTGTTTTTTAGACTTGCATTTGCATTTGTAATTTGTTATTTTGTTTTCAGAATTGTGATTTGTTTAGCACTTCTCAGCCACCGTAGACTTCCAATGAAGGCTTGCTAATATGTAAAAGGACTGAGTCACAGAGGTGGAAAGTAACTAATTAAATTTACTCACGTCACTGCAATTGAGTAGCTTTTTTGAGTAATTTACTTTTTAAAGTAATTTTTAAAATCTGTAATTTTACTTTTACTTAAGTATATATATATATTGAAGTATTGTACTTTGCTACATTTAAAATTACTGAGTAAAAAAAAAAAATCGCACCCTCGAAACGACTGCATTAAATAATGGGCAGGAGAACAAACTGGCGCTAAAATCACAAGAAAGATGGAGACGGACAAGACAGGCGTTAATGGTGCAGACCCAGCAGAAAATTAAACCCCGTCGTATTCTGCTGAAGTTGAACTCGAAGGAAATTAAATGAACCCCTGGCCATATAAGCTCTATTATGCAGTGTAAACTGTGTTTGCCTAGGGAGACCAAACTAGCAGCTTATAAAATCTCGACATCAACCCTTTGCAAGCATGTAGAGGTAAACTACTTGCATCGTTGAGTTGAAAAAATAATTCCAAAACAGCCACCACAGCACAGTTTTGTGCTTCTGAGCAACATTTAGTTCCTGAATGAATCAACTGTTTAAATGATTCGGGTCAATCGCAATGACTCACTTATTAACAGTGACTTGATGCCACCAACTGGTGGTTTTAATTTCACATTTTACATAGATATACGTATATATATAATTTCAAATATGAGTAGGCTATTCAACGTTTTATGTCTCATATATCAAAACATTATTTCTGCATGTGTAACTGCAGGTTAAATGCATTCATGTCCTGCATTAAACAGTGTACTGGTGGTTTTAATTTCACATTTTACATATATATACGTATATATATAATTTCAAATATGAGTAGGCTATTCAACGTTTTATGTCTCATATATCAAAACATTATTTCTGCATGTGTAACTGAAGGTTAAATGCATTCATGTCCTGCATTAAACAGTGTGTAAGTGCATCTAAATGCCACTTCAGATGCAGCTTCTGTGTTTCCTTTGCATTGCAAAGATGGATTTTGTTGATACTGATTTAACTTGTTTGGTAACAGCCCAAATGTCTTATTATTCTAAATGACCGATTAAGAATTTGGCTCAAAGGATAATGAACACTTTTAGAAAAATGGCTTTATGTAGGTAAAAATGCCCATAAAAGATCAAAATCAATTTAAACTTATTAGAAAAGATTCATTTCTATCATTGCTGTGAACTGACCACACAGAATATGAAGAATACAGAGAATAAGAGTCAGCCTGCCCACAGCAATGGTTAAGATACCAGCATAATAACACTCAGCAAAATATTGTCTAATTATCATTATCGATAAAATCACAGAAAATATCAAGATATCTTTTTTTTGTCGATATAATGTTGGTTGGCACCAGGGTCAGAAACTAATGGGGGCTTGGGGCAAAAATGTCACCCAAATTTATGATTTGGTGCAAAAAGTGTCCCTGCACAATTAAGCAAGAACTATTACGGCGGTCATGATTTAAGTGTAATGTGAAATAAATGAAAAGTGTTACATTTTAGAGTAGATCTGCTCATGTTGCATCAGATGTCTTTATACTCGCGTTTTGCAGTGTTGAGCATTATAACTATTCACACACCTTTCTGTTGAGTTTATGAATGCAATGTCCAATCAAAGGCGTTTTGATTCATTGAGTTGTTCAAGTGTGCGCGCTTACTGACTGAATTCTGAATGTGCATTCGCAAATTCTGTCATAATCATAAACAACAAAGTGCAAAATAAATGTAAGCGATTGATTCGCTTCAGTAATTCTGGGAGTTTTTGCAAAAGGGCATAGCTCACATTAGACTGAAGTCATGGACCACTTTAGTGTCCTTCGCGTGCTTTCTTTGTATAATTTATAATAATATTATTTTAGTTTTTCATGCTACTGAAATAACCAATGTGAAGTCTTGATTATCTAATCCTTCAAAAGCAATTCAAAATGTCATAAACGGTTCTTAGCTTGTTTTGCATACTTGGTGGGATGGCCTGCATTAAAATCTCACAAGCCTCCCTAAATGTTTTAAATGTCATGTGTCAAAATCTTTTTGGTTATTGCAGTTTAACTTGTAAAGGTGTTCCTTTAATTAAAAACAACTAGTTTGAGATTTATAGGCCTATCCCATTTTTGGATATTTGGATATTTGTCTTATTCTACTTTTACTTGAGTAGAATATTTCAGTACTCTTTCCACCTCTGAAAGTCTTTATTAGTTTATTTTAAAGCTTTAGCATATTTGTTTTTTTTTTAAGCAGATGAGGGATTTCGTGGGAATGAAATAAGATTACAACACAAATATTAAGCATGTGCAAACTTAATTATAAAACATCTTTTTTATTTCCCCAACCCTTCTTTTTCCCTGCTCTCTCTCTTTCTCTCTTGGTATTTGTTGCTCTCTCTTTTGCAGGTATCCCAATAGTGCTGAATTTAACACCCAGCTATGATAGGGCTTCAGTCTGGTTCAACAATGTTACTGCTGTTGCTGAGAAAATAAAAGTAAGTGCTGATAAAAAAAAAAGAGGAAATTGTAAAGGGAGGCCTATTTTTGTGGAGAATGAGTATGGATGAAAAGATAGTAGGCGTATATGAGAAAGGAAGTATTAAAGAGCCAAACAAGATCCTATCTCTTATCTTAGAAAAACAGCAGATTTAAGATACAACATGTATACAAAAGGGTATACCAATTGATATTTTTATTTATTTATTTAGGACGCATGTACACACTGGTTGACAAAAGGATTTGGTGGTATTTTCTTGCCTGACCTGAGAGAGATCATGACAACAAAGTCCTGGCCATCTATACAAGATATATTCAACAAAACTGAGGAGACCAAACAAGTGTATGTGTCTGTAATTGTGTGCTACTACAACCTAGTGGTTTCCTATTCTGCTGAATTGTTTAGAGACACCTGCTGGCCAGATGGGGTAATGAGCACTGCTGCTTGCTCCCTCTAGTTAGGCCAAGTGTCTTTCTACTTTATCTTTGTTTTCTTTTGCTTCCAAGAGCCTCTCTATTTCTCCTCATGACTTTCAGAGCTCTGATGGGATCAGTCACCAGTCTCTCCGCGGATGAGGTCTCTCTTGTACTGAACCGCTCAGGTGTTGACCTGCTCCTGACTGGACTGCCTGATCCAGCTGAGACTGGGGTAGTAAAGAAGCTCTACTCCAGTCACCCGCAGACGAGTCTGGGCTGGTGTCTGGGTTCTCTGGCTTCCAGAACTCCAGCAGCGCCTATAAGACTCTATCAAATGCTGCTGTTCACCCTCCCGGGCACACCTGTGTTCAGCGCTGGAGATGAGGTCGGACTGAAGGCTGGGGTGAGTACAGCATTAAATAAATGGACAGCTAAATCAGTGTTTGGATGCAAAATTCAGAATTTAAAAAATGGCTCCATTTAAATTCCTTAATTTGAATTGAATCACACACTCCACAGATAGTTGAGACTGAATTGAAAATGACAGGTGGAGAATTTACTGAACTTAAACATATAACGCATTCTGGTAACTAAATGTTCTTGGCTCACAGAAATAAAAGTTAGTTTATTAAATATGATCAAATCTATCTATCTATAGATAGATAGTCTGTTTGTCCATCTGCATATCCTTAGTCCATATTTAATGCCTATAAAAACTTTTGGCAAATGTTCTAATGTTGCTATGAAATAGAAGTAGCCGGTCTATTCTTTTACATTGTGACTTAAGAATTACAAGGACAAAAAAGGAAACATCCACAGAGTAATTGTTCACATTTACAATAACATGCATTTAGAAAAATAGGGTGAATTCTCATTTAATGCCAACTTAAAATATTTTTAAACATTCATGCTAGGCTTTGTCAAGTAAATATTCCGGTTTTTTATTTTAATTATGCTTTCTTGTAAATCCGCATTTTAAATTCATGAACTGAATTATAATTTAAAATTCATTTTTAATTCAATTCCAAATGGCACGCAGCCCCTGGTGAATAAGGGATATAAGGTTGCTTTCATTAGTATTTCTGTCTTGTGAGTTTAATGATAATGTGTATTTAAATTTAGCCTGTTTCAGGATCTTAAACCAGGTCTTAGCATTTAAATACCTTCAAATGCCCCTGTCATTAAGCCAATGTGATTATTATTCAGGTAGCTAACTCAAACTATTGCTCTACAGTACTATCGCAGTAGTTATAAACCTATTTTAGAAGACAGTTTATGCTAATATGCTATAGAGCCCCTTGCGATGTGCTATGAATTGCCATCTGACACATTTCTTAAACAATACATAAAATCGAGCTAAAAGCGTTAGAAGCGAGTACTTCTGCGGTCTTAGTCTAATGTTTATATTTAGCCAAGTTACCAGCGTATTGCTATAACACTGATGACTTAAGATTCCTCCTTCACAGGAAAAACCTCAAATAATGTGGGACTTGGAAAACCCAGCAGAAGAAAAGAATGCAACAGCAAAGGTACATTTTGATTATTCACATGACTATTCATAACAAGGAGATATGATCTCATCACTGTACTAATTACAAATTTAAAACCAGCACACTGAATCTCGCTCTTTCCGTCCTCCACTCATTCAGACTCTGCAGGAGGAGCGTATCGCAGTTCACAACGTCTTCAAAGCACTCAGTGACCTGAGGGGAAAAGAGCGATCGCTTCTGCACGGAGAATATGTCAGCCTTCACAGTTCAGCCACTTCATTAGCATTTCTCCGCCTCTGGGATCAGAGCGACCGTTTCCTTACTGCTATGAATTGGGGAAATGACCCTGTAACCATGATCCTCTCTAACAGCGACCTGCCGGCTCAAGCTCAGGTCCGCCTCACCACAGATGCTCCAAATCTAGCCGTGGATAGCATGGTCTCCTTAGAGAAGTTTCAGCTTGGGCCCAAACAGGCGGTTCTGTTGTCTTATCCTTATGCTGGTTAGACACACATCTGCAGATCTTCACATATCGTCTCAGAGCTGTTTGACTTTCTCTGAGGTCTAATAAAATAGGCCTAGTGTCTTTATGCTTCTTTACGTTTAAGTAGACAAAGTTTAAATGTGTTTGAATTTTGAAGTGATTTTTGATGAGTGACTTTTGTCAATCAGTGCGTGTATTAAATTTGACTTCTCTTATCTACTAATAAAGTTGAATAAAAAGGTTTTTCCATGTCTACTTTCAGTGCACAGACGTGTTTGTACAAAACCACAAATAAATCAGCTTAACTACAAAGCTGATAAATGTTTACTGCTGTATGTCTGTCCTATTTTCTGTGTATTTTATCATGGGAAAAAAGTGATTTTTGTGTGTACGAAACACCTTTGACGTTTTTTTTTTTACCTTGTGATTTTATGCACACAACACATTTGTTGTGCGCTTGTGTCTTGGCTCTATGCCATGTGTCGTTAATTCTCAGGGCAGGAAAAGGAAGACTCTAAAGTCAACAGGTGTGTGTATATGTGTGTCATGTGCGATCTTGATGTGTACTATATAAAACTATTACTTCCTGCACACTTTAGCTTGGTAAAAAGTAACATTTCTTCCAGCACCTAAATGCGGAATGGGTCAGCGTGATTTCATAAATCTAGCTCTTTAGTTAAGAAATATGTAACACGATGGCTCAGTACAACAACGATTGATTTATACACCGTAATTAAAATATTCTTGACACTCAATTTTTTTCCCCCTCAGGATGTGCACTACTACATATAGGGGAAAGTGCCTCTTTCTTAAGTTATTTTGTATTTTACTTGATGCCCCATTTGTTTGTTTTTTTAATGGCAGTCTAGTGTTGATTAATGTAAGGTCATAGGTCAAATCTGAAATTTCAAAAGTGTATAATTCTCATTTACTTACCTTTAGTTTCTGTGGGTCCCCTATCATATTTTCTTCAGCAATAAGCGTATGCTGGGCTTGGATCTCTGTGTTAACGTGTATGAGACCGAAAGAGATCGATCTTGAAAGAAATCTTTATCTAATTGTGATTGTGAACTTTCCCAGATATAAGTGGTGGTGAGGGCTGTTCGTTTGCATGTCCTCCCACAGACAAGAACATTTTTGTTGCACAGAAAAGTAAAAAATCTAGACAGTCCACAATGGTAGAGAAAATTACATTATTGTATTAAGTTGTATAGTGATAAAGCATCAAATACATTTTCTAATTTCTGTTCATCATAAAAGAGTAATTCTTTAAGTATAATATTAATAAAATAACAATTATATTAATAATAGCAACTCATATTCATAAAATGTAAATCAAGTTGAGTGAAGTTTACAACATTGATGGTAAAGAACTAGAAACAGATCACAAAAATGTTTGGTGAGAACTAAAAGGTGTTTGGTAAAAACTAAAATCAGAAGGGGAAATAACATCCAGGTCAGATGTTCAGATAAAGACTGAACAAAACAACACAGTTTCTACATTTAACACATTTTACCTTCAGCGTTGTGTTGTTTAAACATTTAAACTGGATTAACGTGCACTGACTGAATCAAGTAAGCTTGTGCTTTCCAGTTCTATTACACTTCATCAAAAGAAACTCATTTTGGTGGTATTTTTGTTGTAAATATTAGAGCTGCGTTTAAGTCATTGCAATGTATGTACAATATTAGGTATGAAACACTTATTTGTACAACTGCTTCAAACTATTATTTTTTATTTGACTTCTCTATGACAATGTAAATATGTTAAGCATTTTTGTATTATTTTACAAAATTAGTTAGGGTTAGGGTTAAAAATTACAGAATCTCAGCATTAGAAAAAGGACTGAATTATGCAATTATAAACCGACATACAGCAAATTGTGTTCGGTCGTTATATGTTTATAAAAAAAAAAAACGTTTGAAGCAATATCCGTGTACATACTGTAAATAGTTGTGCTACTTTGATTATGTCTCAGACGACGTTATAACATCAGCTGTTTGTACATGTGTGTGTTGATCTGAATGTCAGCGGGGGTACAGTGATATTTCAAAATCGACGGAGACAGGGACGTGTTTCTGGTAAAACACGACGTCGCACTCTTGAGATGACTGAGTGTGGTCACAAACCCGTGTGTGTGTGTGTGTGTGTTACATGTATTTGTCAGACGTGTGTGTACCTGTGTGATTGTGTGTTTCTTTTCTGTGGGGATGGGGGTTTCATTTTGACTCTGGGCAACTTTTGACGGCAGTGAATCTGGTTTTTTGAGCCAGATCACACAGCAGCTTATTTTATTCAACTTAAGTTGTTCACTTGAAATTCCTTTAAAATCAGGAAACATTTCTGGTAACTTTAAACCACACTTGTCTTCTCGTGTGATTTGGGTTTTGTACGGGCTTGATCATCTGTTTCTCTCTCTCCTTCTCCTCCCTCATCTCAATAAGAGAGACGAGAGAGAAAGACACAACGCCCCCTCTCGCCCTGTTGATGTGAAACTCCTCACCGAACAATGCCCAGTCATGCCTGACTCTCGTTTTTACTGCTACAGCCTACTCACATCACTAAACTTCATTAAACCCTGTTATCTTGAACCCCCATCTTCATCGCAAACATTTCTTCATAAGCATCACCATCTCCATTATCACTATCATCATCATCACCAAACTCTGTATTATTCTCATATCTTCTGACTTTCGATATCAAATACACCATTGTTTGTCAAACTCTCCAAAATATCTGCATGAAATAGTGATTCTCCCTAAAATGAATGAGGGTGGCTGTGTGGCAATTTCAACAATCATTTTCATACCTCATCATCAATAATGGCCTACCGAAATATGTCACCTGCACGTAGAGATGGTAACCTGCAATTGTTGCAATCTTTCAAATAAAAATTCCTCATTCTCACGTGCGCTCCAAACTGTACGACTTCTTATGTGGAACACAAAAGAAGATCATTTGAAAGAAGTCTCATACAGCAAAAGACAGTGTTGTTTTTGAACCCCTTTAACTTTAATTGTATAAACATAAAAAGCCAAAACTTGCTTTAAAATATCTTTGTGTTCAGGTTTGGAACAACATGAAGGTGAATACATGAATAGGAATAGTTTACCCTCATGTCCTTCCAAACCTGTGTGAGATTCTTTCTTATGTTGAACACAAAAGAAGATATTTTGAAGAATGTTGGTATTCGAACAGTTGTTGTGTTCAACATAAGAAAGAAACTCACACAGGTTTGGAACGACATGAGGGTGAGTAAATGACGACAACATTTTCATTTTAGGGTGAACTATTCCTTTAAGGGTCATTTCTACCCAATCATTACTCTTCAAACTAGTTTTGTTGTATTATCGTAATGTATTTGGTTGATTAAGTGATGTTAGATCATATTTTGACTTCAATAAATCAGATATTTAGATTTGTTGTGAGTGCACTAAAAAATTCTCTCAGCATGTAATATCCACAATCAACGGCTATTTAAATGAAAAACATTTCTGCTATTCCAACACCGTGTATTCATTTTATTACGCTTTTTTTATTATTATAATCAGCATCTTCTCCTTACTCAATAAAGTACCTTCACGGACCCCTATTTGAAGCCCCCGGAGGTGATACAGGAGACCATGGAAATACAATAAAATACAACATAGAACAAATAGGTTGTAGAATAGTTTTTCAGCACTTAATAGCAGTATTTAACAATCAAATACTAGATGGATAAGAAAGAGAGAGTGAAAAAAACGTAGGGGCAAGGACAGGCGCTTTGTCAAACTGAGAGCTGCCTCTGAGGTCTGAGTCGGAGCAATACAGTTTTTTTTCTCTCGCTCTTTCTCTCTCTCTCTACGGTGTATGATGTTTTTTCTCACTCGTTTCCAGGATCACAATGACAAAGTCTTCAAAAGATCAGAGGAACCAAGAGAAGACTGCCGTACCGAAAAGTTAACCATCACTAACGCCTCCACAGAGCCTGCATGTCTTTCTCTCTGTCTATCTTACCTTAACAGTGCATCCCTCCTTCATTCACTCACTCGTGTATACAGACGTGCATGTAACACGCAGAGTTCAACTGTCCTGCAGGCCTTGACTTCAAAACTGAGAGGTAAGTGACATCTTCCTCTGTTTATGAACAAGACAACAAAAAACAGACAGTGAAGCGAGTTAGCGAGTGATAAAACGGACTAATGGGTAGTGCTTTACAAGTATATACACATGTATTTCAGTTCTGCAAACAAAGTTATATAAGGCACAGACATGGCTGAGCTGACACTCATCTTGTTTGTTTTTACATCTTGAATGTAAAGCGATGCAGACTCATGTCGCTTGTTTTTGAAACTCATAAGATTGTGTATTGCACCAGACTTGTAGACTCATGGATCTGCGTATAGCATGAAAGATTTCATTGATGTTGAGGCCTAGTTTCGGAAAACGACTGGAGTACAGAGGACACATTAGAAACTCAGTGTGGATTGAATGAGGTATCTTTTTGACTGTAATGTACCTCTTTTTACATTTAATTAATGAACATCATCTTTAGTTTATGAGATGCATGCTATAATAACGCTTACATTTTCAACACTAATAATAGTTCGCTCCATTAGTATTTTGTGGCGTCTATGACATTCTTCAGATTGTGAACGACAGAGTAGAATATTGATAATTTTCGGATAATCTGTAGATGAAACGTGTCCCTGTGAGTCATTCTCATGAGAAACGGTATTGGATTGCGTACAATCCTGCGAGAAAAAGCAGTTTGAATACTTTTTCTTGGTTCTGCGCTCGAAGTACAAAAATTCAAAAATAATAAAACAAAAGCTTCTATTTCTGGAAATCATATTCAAAAAATATTTTTAAGGGGTAAGATTTATTTTTTTGAGCCTTGAGCATAATTTCTCTCACCTTTTATGTGCATTTGTAGTTCCTTGAAGACCTGCGTCAATGATTATGGGACTGAAAGTGTGTGCAAGGTTCTTCCCTTTAACACAAAGAGCAGTCAGTAATGACCTATTTTTGTTGATGGTGGACCATGCAAATTATTAATAACTCGGGCTCCTAGTAATGTATTGTCTGATTTTACAGTTTTTTCCGTATATTTCATCTTTACACAACAGGGTCTAATAAGCAAACTTTCTCTGATGTTTTTTGCTATTATTGCAAAGTATAATGTCATGTAGAGAATATTGATTCAGAATTGTTATTTATGAAATGAAACTCACCTGACAGATAACGTCCTACAACCGCCTTTATGACTCAAGTGCTGCAAACTACTAGTCCAAGCGATGATGATTCCTGAAAATATATATATAATAAAAAATTAGCCTCAAAGTTCAGTGATTATACTTTACACTTGAAAAGAAAAAAAAGGCTATTAGGATTGAACAAGAATCCTTCTACTAACAGAATTGCAACAGTTTCTGCATTGTACCTTTAACCTTTTTGGATATTTAAATTATGCAAGAGTTCTGTGTTTATTCTGTGAGGATGTTGGCATCCACCAAGGGCATATTTCCTGTATACTGATCATTGCAGCCAAATTTAGCTTTAATATGCATAAGCAATACTTAAACAGTACAGTGTTAGGTCCTCTTTTATTCAGGTATTGAATGAGTATTGGGCTTTTTGTAAGGCGCTAAGTTGATTTTAAACCTCAGATCTCCATTATTATGTATTGGGTCAAACAGAACATGACGATGGTCACCAACAACAAATTAGCAATTTATTTTTTCTTTTCTATCTTTTTTTTTAAAATAATGGAATACGAAAAAGAACATTTAGAATTGGCTTTATGTAAACTTAGCTGGTTTAATCTATAGTAATTCTAACGATGTTTATATAAAAAAATAGTAGTCTATGGTATGTCTTCATGTAGAAATAAATGGTGTATTTGTATGTAGGTTTAAATGCGAGGCTCTGGGAGACCTTAGAAACATCACTTAACAGACTTTGCAGTTATTTGACTATAAATATGTTTTACTATTTGACTATGAAAGGCCAGATATTCAGTCTAGGTAGCACCTGTTCAATATGAACAAAATCTTTAAAAAAAAAACAACAACAACAGCAAGTCTCTATTTCATCAGATAATACAGATAATTACATAAGATAATTTTTGCTAATTTTCTAATACATATTATATACAAATACTTGATATGGCGTGAAAATGTAAGATTTTATTGAAGCGGTTATAAGGACAGACTGCTTCTGAAGCTTGTCTATGTGCAGTCATGTTTAGCCTTCTGCGATAAACATTTTTAGAACGTATTAAAAAACCGGTAAGACATTCAGTTGAGAATTAAATGTTAAATTTGCTAACTTTTCATCTAGAGCACCGATATGACAAAAAAGAAAACATATAAACAAACACAAAACAATTTGGTAATATCAATGATAAATCGGTATTTGTATGTAGGTTTAGATGCGAGGCTCTGGGAGACCTTAGAAACATCACTTAACAGACTTTGCAGTTATTTGACTATAAATATGTTTTACTATTTGACTATGAAAGGCCAGATATTCAGTCTAGGTAGCACCTGTTCAATATGAACAAAATCTTTTTTTTAAAAACAACAACAACAGCAAGTCTCTATTTCATCAGATAATACAGATAATTACATAAGATAATTTTTGCTAATTTTCTAATACATATTATATACAAATACTTGATATGGCGTGAAAATGTAAGATTTTATTGAAGCGGTTATAAGGACAGACTGCTTCTGAAGCTTGTCTATGTGCAGTCATGTTTAGCCTTCTGCGATAAACATTTTTAGAACGTATTAAAAAACCGGTAAGACATTCAGTTGAGAATTAAATGTTAAATTTGCTAACTTTTCATCTAGAGCACCGATATGACAAAAAAGAAAACATATAAACAAACACAAAACAATTTGGTAATATCAATGATAAATCGGATCAATAATCATTATACGGATGAGACTGCAGTGAGATGCATACAGATGTTGTGCTCTGTCATTTTATAGTTTATCATTCTCTCGTTTGAAAACCTTTTGAACAAAACCACTCCAAAATATATTCATGTAATCATACAAAAGCACACATCCAAAAAGTTGTTTATTTAGTATCACTTTTGTGCAACTTCTAATGCTAGATTTATCTAATTTGCATACATCATATTCACTTACTGTTTTTATTTTTTTATTTTTTTACAGGTCTAACATTGATTAAATTGAATCAAAGATCGTCTTATAGACCATTGAAATAGGATAATGCGTAACATTTAACACTGAAAAAGACTACCCATGAAAAAAAATATTGGCAAAAAAAATATTTCCATGTAAATACAAAAATACAATAAATCTAAATTGCATATTTTGCCTCTTTCAACGGTTATCCACAAACCAGTATGCGAACACTTTTGTGTTTATCATTTGATTTGGGTTCATATATTTTAGCATTACATTACATCTATTATAAAATGCCGCCAGCAAAATGTAAACGATTCCAAAACTACAAATCTTTATTAATATTATTGAAAAGTCTTTATAATAGTATATGCTTTCACGACTTAAAAATGTCACCGTCACAGAGCTGGGAAGACATGGACTGCCAGACATAGTCTGTTAAATTATTTATTGTAAATGATTATTTTATACAGTTTAACTGAAGAATCTCACAATGCTAGCAATTCATGCTACAAGACCCAACAATACAACAGAATCTACAGCAGTAAATGTGCACAAGAGTAAAAGAGATTTTCATATCTTCATGTATTTCCAGCTGTTCTCTTCTTTTCTATGATTTGAAATTATGGCCACATGTTGTCAGTTGAAAATTTTGACTACTGAAATTTAGTGGAAGCTTGCTTAACACATTAGCCGTTTCTGAATTTGCTTATGTTCTAAAAATGAGTGAATTCTTACTCCTCCTAAAATGCATCGTCAGCACATTTCACTCTGCATCGGCCATGAGCAGACTAATAATGGAGAAGCACCTAAATTCATTAGAAACTACAGGTTTTGGGGGACGTAACCTGTAAAAAGCACATTCATTTATTTCCGCAACCTAAACTTCAGCGTTCATTCAACAAGAGTTTTAGGTTCAGCTTTCATTACTCTCATATACTTCTTTAATTTTTCAACGCATTCGTCTGCATGCACTTATGAACGTTGTCTCAAAGATAAGATAAACGGTTTGATAGAATGATAGATAGAGAGGAGAAAAAAAAAAAGTCCAAACCGCTCTGCTGCTTTCCCCCTCCTCTGTTCAGTCTTTCACTCATATGACCGAAAACTAGAAAACAGCCTCCACACTCCTCTTTCCATCAATTATATCCTATGTTGTTTTGTCCCTCCTTAACCCGCTCGCCCCGTTCTCCAGTATTATCTGATCACGTATAGCTTTTAGGTACGCAATATTGATTTAAGAATGAACATTTCATGCAACAAAGTTGGTATTTTAAGTCCTAAATTTCCCCACTCTTTGTTTTTGAATATAAAAACTTGTACAAAGTAGATTTTTAAAGGCAAAAGCTAAAAAAAAGTAGGGCAGCGAGAGAGAAAATCTACATTTCTCTTGTCCAGGAATCCGTCTTCTCGCGGTGTATTGTATTACACCTTTTATTCTTTCACCCACATTATGCTAATGGTGAGGTTTGTGTAGGTGATTTCTGCAGGTACATTCATACTGTACTCACCACTGAATTAACATCACCCTCATCAGCCAAACTGCCAAACCTACAACCTATGCGGGGGCCGTCCAGATTCACGGTCTCTCAAAGTTTAATGCCTCTGACCGAGATACGACGCACAGAGACAGAGTGGGTGGACCTGTAGTAGACCTGTCATTCAAAATAAAAATCCATGATTATGCTGAACTGCTGTCATTTAAGAATTAACAGTTAAAATGATGCAAATAAGCTAGCATGGGAGAGAGAGAGAGAGAGAGAGAGAGAGAGAAAAGCTTATTTAACACTACGTGTGGGTGGAAAAAGGGGTGCAGAGACAATTGTATGCGGTATGGAAACGATTTTATATTGTGGGTATAAGAGGGATACACTTGCAGAAAGAGAGCGAGAGAGCGGAGGCGGGGTGTACGGAGGTTTCCCTTGTCCACTTCCTGTTCTGTTGTCGTTTCATGGTCAACTTCCCGTCACATGATTTTGAGCAACCACAGATTCTCACTGGCGTAAACACAGTTTGTTTTTTCACCCACACAAACACATGCACAGACTTACTGTATATGCATGCACAAAATCTCAATAAAGCAATCAAGTTAATAATTTAACACAAAACACAACTGTTCACATACATGCAAATACAAAACAAATACTCAAACTTGTTCTTATGACCGACACACACACACACAGACACTTGACAGGAAGCTTTGCCTCTCACTCATGTCGTATACACTTACACACACACACCCACGCCTTACCTGCCAGTTTGACAACTCTTACGTTCTTTACACTCAAGTCACTAACCACAACAGATGCGAATCTCAAGATAACACTCTGAGCCGCATGCACAATAAGCCCAAAAAGTCTCATAACTTGCCAGCATCATTGAAGACAACAAGCTTTCATCCTACAGCTGTTGTTAATTGTTAAAAAATCGATCTAAAGTAAGGTTAGTCCGGGTTCAGCTGTACGGAGGTTTCCCTTGTCCACTTCCTGTTCTGTTGTTGTTTCATGGTCAACTTCCCGTCACATGATTTTGAGCAACCACAGATTCTCACTGGCGTAAACACAGTTTGTTTTTTCACCCACACAAACACATGCACAGACTTACTGTATATGCATGCACAAAATCTCAATAAAGCAATCAAGTTAATCATTTAACACAAAACACAACTGTTCACATACATGCAAATACAAAACAAATACTCAAACTTGTTCTTATGACCGACACACACACACACAGACACTTGACAGGAAGCTTTGCCTCTCACTCATGTCGTATACACTTACACACACACACCCACGCCTTACCTGCCAGTTTGACAACTCTTACGTTCTTTACACTCAAGTCACTAACCACAACAGATGCGAATCTCAAGATAACACTCTGAGCCGCAAGCACAAAAAGCCCAAAAGGTCTCATAACCTGCCAACATCACTGAAGACAACACACTTTCATCCTGCTGCTTTTGTTAATTGTAAAAAAAAAAAAAAAGTATTCTAAAGTAAGGTTAGGTTGGAATCAACCCTTTTTGATCTACCGTCTGTCTGTTCACCATGAGTGAGACCCCCATTGGACCAAGAGAAGATGGTGATCTATGGGAGACTGTGAGTATGTGATGTAGGAGAACGGATAAAAATAGACTGAGAAGGAAAAGAGATTAAGGAGGAGAGCAAGACAGAAGAGGGAGAGAGATATAGAAAGACAGAGATAGAGGGAGATCCGTGACTGCTTCCTCAGGATGTGGTTTTCGGTTCAGGGTTTTAAGGGAGGGGGTGACTCTATGACAACCGAAGACTTACCTTTTGATCGGTGGCACCTGTGAAAGAAAATGTGTGAGAAAGAGTTTTCACATTTAAGTATGATAATGCGCACAAGCGAGGAAGAGCTAGAGAGAGCGCCTGCTTTCAGACGTGTTAGCTGGAGAGAAGGGTCGCACACGGCAGACAACTCGCAGGTCGACATGTACAGATAGCACATGAACAAAAACAACAGGTTATGGATAAAGAAAGGTGAGTACTAGACAAACAGAGTGAGAAAGAAGGATGAGAAATAAAGTAAAAATGATAAACAAAGCCGCAGAACAAAGGCCGTTTGTTTTCTTTCGATAGCTGTAGACGTTTCTCCATTTTTTCTTTGCTGTAATGTTTCCGCATTTCTGTATGAATATTTGTCTTTAAAACCAACTGTTACAGAGGAAGACAAAGACAAACCATTCAGCGGTTGGGAAAATGTCTCATTGCGTTTGCCTGTGTGGTTTGGCTCACTAACGTTTCTGAGGTTGAAAGGATTTTGATGGCTTCTGATTGTCTTTGTGTGTCGTTTCAGTTTTCAGATGCGATGAGCGTCCTTTAACTCGAGGGTGCAGCCATTTGCAACAAGCCACATGGCTGACCTTACATCTCCCGAGGCGGAGTCGCTCTCCTTCGCTCCCATGTTCCGACACCAGACAGAAGGTCAAAGGTCAAGCCACAACCTTTACCTGCAAGGTTCTATAAGTGGGCTCGGCCCGTTTGAGGTCCCGTGTGAAGCCACGGATGGCACCGGGAACACTCTGAATGGAATAGCTCAAACGGGGAATGCTTCTTATTGGGGGAATACATCCCCTGTGTCCTCTATGGAACTGAACAGGAACAAGGCACAAGCTGGAGTTTACGAGGCCGACTGGAGTTCTCACTACCACCAACAAGAGGCATCAGAGAGTTATGAAACAACTGGGCGTCAGCAACAAAAACTGGATTCATTCTCCGAGGCATTTTGCAGTCATAGCGCCACCCGAATGCCGGGCGGAGGAGAGCAGAGCGGCTTTAACAGCTCTACTCCTCCGTCACATGCCCTCTCTTTCCCTCTGGTTCTTAGCCCACCGCCAACGCCCCTGCCTGCTCCATCCTTTTCTCCTCCTAAACGACCTCAACACTTCTTGTCCGGCCAGATCTTGAGTCAATCACAGATACAAACTCAGATGGATGGGTCGCTGCAGTTCTTTCCCTCTTTACCTTCGCCCTCCACCGGCAGGTTCAATCATCCCATTTGGTTCCAGCTGCAAGCTGACGACAGCGACAGCCTGGACTTAACGCAGCACCTTCCACAAGATTCAAACTCCTCTCTGATTTATTCAGAGCACGGAGGGCCTCATCTGAAACATATTAACTCCCTGCAGAGAGGTACAGGTAACATAGCACCATGTTTTGTGTGTTGATCTGTCTTGGCATGCTGTTATTTTTTAAATTAAAGTGTGACTTTTAATAAAACAAGTGCTTTTCTTGGTTAGACTGTTCACTGCAAATGTCCCTCAACCCTGTACTGGTTGAACATCACCATCACCAGGCCTGCACGCAACAAGAGTTGAGTCACGAGCCCGGAACATCCGAAGATCACATGACTTGGTCTCAGGTTTGCCATCTGCACATTCAGACAGATTATTAGCCTGGTCAAGCATAATCGACTGATGCATCAATGGCTTTAACGGCATAGCAGCCCATTTAATTTTAATGTTCTGTATTTTAAGCTGGTTATGATAGCATGCAACATTCATTACACTGTATAGAACCTTTTTTTCTTCCATTTTGACAGATGGGGCAATCATCTCATTCATTTGGACCTTCTCTACACCAGACTAGTCTCCATGTGCAGGGGTCAGGGCCAGGAGAAGGAACACGATTCGGTTATGGACTGAACTTCGGTCCTGGGTCCTCAGACAAATCTCAGGTGCCCGTCAGCACACAGGCAAGAGACCATTAATTTACTACATTTTGTACCATTCAAAAATTTGGGGTCAGTAAGATCTTCAAGAAATTTTAGACAAATTAATACTTTTTTTTGATTGGTGAATAAGTGACAAAGATATTTATAATGCTACATAAATTGTTAATTTTTTTCTTTTTAAACTTTCCATTCATCAAAAAATCCTGAACAATATTATCATGGCTTCCATGAAAAAAAAAACGTTACAACTGTTTGCAACATTGATAATAATAGGAGCTGTTTCTTTAGAACCAAATAAGCACATTAGAATAATTTCTAATTAAGAGTTTAAAGTATATTTAAATAGAAAACTGTTATAAAACTGTAATAATATTTGACAATATTACTGCTTTTACAGTATTTTCTGATTAAATAAATGCAGTATTGGTGAGCATAAGACACTTCGAAAACATTTTTTTTTTAAAAACAACCCAAGCTTTTGAACGGTAGTAATATACAACATGTGAAATATATATAAAAATGTTAACGGTTACTGGTTAAAACCACAAGCCTTCATCCTTGGGAGCATCATTTTAAGCAGAATCACTCACATGCAGCTTTATTTGCCTCATGTAGAATGTTCCCAGTTCCGTATATACTGGAGCCCCTTTCAACAGTGTGATCCAGATGAGTAGAGACCTAATGGAGAACTGGGAGGAAGCTACACCTCACTATATGCCACCTCCAATGCTGAACCCAACACGTAGTGGAACGGGACTCTTTTGCAACTTACTGTCTTCCCTAGCTGTGGAAAACAGAGCATTGTGGACAGACGAGAGGAAAGATGATGACTCACAAAGGTCAGCATTCAAATGTTTGTTTGTTTTTCTCAGTTTTGGTCACTCATTGGTGTCGTCATACATGAAGCATTTGTAGTATTTCAGCTAATACCAATTTATCTATGTATTTTTTTTTGTGAAGCGCATGTCTGAACAGCTTAAAAAAATTTTTTACTTATTTGACAACAATAATCTGTCAGGACATAAATAATGCACAGTTTGGTGTCAAGTTTTTTCTTTCTTGATTTGGTGAGCATCTGCTTGGTTGTGTTGAATCTTCCTTATTTTAACCCTCTGGCATTTTTCAACATGGCAGTCAAAAAAAGTATTTTTTTTAAATGAAATTAACGTTCTGTATTGTATCTTGATAGTTTTTTAAATTTAATATTTAGGTTTTTTTTAGGAAATGTTTGGTTCTAAATTATATTCATAGTTATGATCCATTTGATACCTGCGAACCACTTTTTGAGCATAGACCTGAAAATTACATTTCCAACTTAAACTGTCGTAAAACTTGAACTGGGGCCAGTTTCATAAAACAAGTTTACCAAATAAGCCAGGTTTATTTTAGTTAGTCTGACGTATTGTCAGTTGATTTGGTTCACAATAAGTCAGACTAACTGAAATAAGCCTGGCTTATTTGGTAAACTTGTTTTATGAAACAGGCCACTGGAGCACACTTAAGTGTGATCTCTTCTTAAAGAAGACACATGGCAGATTATTGATGAAGTGAAGTTTAAGTTATTGAAGTTTGCCGTTATGAGAAATGCACAAAATGCCATTTTTTTATATGAAACATATTTTCAAAACATGTTTTACTCAAAAGCTGTAAGAAAACCAAAGCCATGAATCTAAACAAGTTGTGTTCCAAATTTGAGGTTGATATCACAAATAAACGAGGTCTCAGTAAGATTTAGTTTGGGTGCAATACCAAACATTTCTACAACAAAAAAATTGCTTCCCATTAATTTTCAATGACTGTGAACAAAAATATGACCATTTAACCTTTTCAGATCATGCCCATGATTTTTGTGTGTGTGTGTGTGTGTTCACATAGCAAGTGCCAAAATCTTTACTAAGTTTCATACCTGACCCTTCCAATAAAGTAAAAAATTTTTAAATAAATAAACGATGAGTGAAATTTACCCAGAGGGTTAAGAAACTTATGTGTCAAGCTTTTCAGCGACAGATGATTTCAAGCTTTTCAGAGACAGATGATTTCAAGCTTTTCAGAGACAGATGATTTCAATAAACTGTCAATTCACACCCAAGGTGCATAAATATAGGCCCAGAGTTCCAAGCGGAGCTGCCAGATCTGATTATAGGAAGAGCGCATGAGGTGTGTCCAGAGGAACCAGTCAGGGAGGAGTTACTATGGAAACCTTGGGCCGAGTTAGAGGAAAATGACACCCTTTTACAGCACGGTAATCAAAATCAAATATTTTAATTACCATTAAACCACTAGTTTTTTCTTCATTAATGAGTGTGATCTGGAACCTCAGTGGAGAATCTTCTTGACCTGAGTGCCTCCAGTGTTCTACCAGGAGGTGGCGCCAATCTGGAGCTTGCTCTTCATAGCCTGTCTCACTGCCAGGGAAACCTTCTAGTGAGTGCAATCTTCATTATGAACTCATGTTTGTAGATGTATGATATTTTGTGATTGCTTTGTTACCTCTTCATAATGTCCTTGGTAATCATGACATCTGATGACTGTTTTACACAATAACGCAGCATAATATTTAATTTCCTTATTTTCCTGGTGACAGGCAGCGCTGGAGATGCTGTTGTTTAAAAACTCCCCTCCATCAGAAAACTATCACTATTCTGGTAAACACTCATTTGTTGATTGTCAAAAACTTTTACAGTAAGCATATTATAAATAAGACTAATCCCGTTTCACTTTCCATTTAGGCATGAATATGTGGAGTTTGAGTGAACAAAGACTGTTCCATAAAGCATTTGCAATTTATGGAAAGGATTTCTCCTTTATACACAAAATGGTAATATATTGAATATTTGCAACTCCAAACCACCAACTATCAGAGAATTTACAGTTCTCATACTTTCAGGTGAGAACAAAGCAGGTGTCACAGTGTATTGAATTCTACTACAACTCCAAGAGGCTTTCAGAGAAACAAAACAAGCAGAGGGAAAGAGAAAGTTTGGAGAAAGAGAGAATAGCAGCCACCATCAATCAGGTAAGACTGAGTTAGATTACTGCACATCAGTGTCAGTCTATACGAGCATGAGTGCTGATCAGGTAAACCCATGAATGGGTGTGTAATGGTTTTTAATAATACAGGCCGGTTTTTAATTTAATATAAAAATGTGAATGATATTCAATTGCTTTTAATTAACCTAGCTTGCCCAGCCTTACCTAATAACACACAAAACAAGCACTGCACATTGAGCACAAATTTTAGTTTTTAGTATTTAATTAAACTGAATAGACTACACTTGGTTCGTAAAATGTCATACATGTTTCTGAGTCTTGCTCCGACCAGCAAGTGACGCCAACCTGTCATTTCGAGCTCTTAGAAGAAAAAGAATCAGTTTGCGAAGAAATTGGTTCAATTTATTCAAATTTTCAAAAAGCTCCATTTCTCCCATAACTATTGAAAAACACGTTTTTAATGAACAAAACACCTGAAAAATAGAGAAGGGCACAGAGCTTCTTAGTAATAGTGTACTCCAAGTTGTCCAAAAGTTGAGAATTGAGTCTTATATTCAACGCTTCAAACGCAACAAATTTTAGCATGGCCTGCCATGTCAGTTCTTTACCAGATCTCATTTGCCATTTAATGCATTTGAGGAATAATTTTCACAGTGCATGGCTTACATTTTACGGTCAAATTCTTCTTGAGATTTTATTAGCAGTTGAGAAACAAAATGGTGTATTTCCGCAACCAACTGGAATGGAGTGTGGATCAAAATTACTCACTCAGTTCTTTTTTTTCCCTCTCAAATCCTCTCCCATGGATTAGTTATTGTGAGAAATTCATGAGTAATTCCATTTTAAAATGGGGAGAAAAGACTCGCCCCGACAGCACGCGGGCCTGCGGTAAACGTCGCTGCATGAATGCGCAGCAAACTTTTTTTTTTTTATAGTAATGCATTAGAAACGTGCTACTATGGTCAGCAGAGGAAATACTTGTTTTGGCAGAACATTCTCCCTCTTACCAGTTACATAAATATAATGGCCTACGATTTGCATATTTTCTGGAGGACAGCAATGATTTGTTGCAGCCCTTTAGCAATTGTTACAAAACTACTCATCCACAGGTTCCTCCAGCCCCGAAGGTGTTGGTTAACCAAGCCAGTATTGACCAACTGATTCAGACCCCACCACTTCCCACAAGCTTTCCCTGTAAACAGTGTGGAAAGTAAGTATAGGCAAAGTTTGTGTTATAGTACTCACTAGGTTTGAAAGTCATGGTCTTCGTTTCTATAGCAAACATGCTTATTTTGGGCATTGTAATCCATCCTTCCCTTTGACCTTGCAAATTGTCATTTCAGGATGTTCTATAAAATCAAAAGCAGAAATGCTCACATGAAGATCCATCGGCAGCAGCAAGAGGACTGGAGGGAAAAACTACAGCTACGCCCAAACCAGCACCACAATCTTAACCTGACCGGAGCACTGGCTCACCCAAACCAGCAAATCCTAACCCAGACCCACCATCAGAATCACATCCTGACCCAAACCCTGATTCAGAACTTGGTCCAGTCACAGACCCAGTTGGCTTTTCTTCAAAGCACAAAGACTCCAAGTACATGCCCAACCAGCAGTACAAGTTGCATGGCTCCCACCCAGAATTCACAGATAGGGTCCAAAGCGCCTCCCTTAAAACTCCACACTGGGCCTCAGCAGACCTGGGGCTCCCTGCACAGTGTAGACACAGGAGGCCTGTTCTATAACAGAGGCTCCGTGGTAAATGGGCTCCATTTGAGCATACAGGACAGTGTCAGTAAACCATGGGCTGATACCCAATAACTGACTTAAACGGTTTAAAACTCTTGATGGAATAAAGTTAAAATAGATTACTGCTTTTAAAATTTTTTTATTTTTTTTAAAGACTTCTCAAATTCAAGAACCCAGTGTAATGTGGGGAGAGCAGAGAAAAAATTAAAAATAAAAATCCCACACGAAAGAACACTTTACACGGCCCAAGACAAAAATGCTTAAGATTCAAGTTTATTAAATCACGTCAAATCTAAAAGCCTCCATTAGGACCTGGGGAGAAGGGAAAAAAAATAATATATATATATATTTATTCACCCATTAACAAACTTCAGTTGCTGCCTTAAGTAAACTTGGTTGTACAAGTCTTTAACTTACATTAAACTTCAACTTAATTTAAATTGCTCAACTTATCGGAGTAAAAGTACTGTAAAAACATAAGTTGCCATGACTTCTTGTAAACTGATTAAATAAATAAAAATACCACCTAATGATCACTGGGCATATTTGTCAAGGGGCGCACTCCACTGGCCCACTCGTGCATAGTCAGCTGGTTTCCTTGCAACAGATCCCCAAAAAGAGGGCTTCACAGTTAGTTTCTGCAGTTGCATGGGCTTAAGCACTTGGGGAGGAACTGAAAAATTGAAGGCATGATTAAGATAAGCACTTCCACCGAGTAGTTCTAAATCATAGGTATTCAAGCAGATTAACTTACCAGTCACAGGGTCCTTGATAAATCCAATTCCAGGCGTCTCGGCTCTGAACTTTCGGTCCACAAAAGAGCTTTCAACGCTATGTACTGGGTAAATGCACCTTATGGTCATTCTGATTAAGTCAAAAGATCTTGTAAACGGTTTTGAAACCAGCAGAGTCATAGTTGCACAGCTTTAGCACTTTCCTTTGTTTTTAGAGCGCCATATTAAAAATAGTTTACTAGGGGTGCTCAGACCCTCAATAACATACCTGTATGCAGCATCTCTTGTGATGACTTGCCTGCTGTCCGTGGAATACAAATCATGAAATATGATCTCATTTTCATAGATCACATACTGCTGATCAATCTGAAAGGCAAGTTGAATAGAGACATCGTCAGATTTCACAACCCCTCCCCCCCCCCAAACAACTTTACCTGAAATCTAGTCCCACAAGTGTTAAGTCCAAAAGAGAAGAGGACTCTGGTCTCATCAGTTTCTTGGGGTCTGCAGCTTCGGTCCAACAGTGTGGTTCTGGCAGGATCGGCATAAGGTACAACTTTAGTGATGTCAGTCACTACAGTCATCACGCCCTCAGTAGTGCACACTTCAAAGATAAAGAAAAAATTCAGAAGGGGGGGGGGGGGGAAGAGACCGGTATTAGATCAAGCAAGCCAAAGCCCACAGAAACCAGCTAGCTATATACACACACACACACACACACCTCTCCCTCAACATTTGAAGTGGATCAAAGTTGTCCTAAAACCAAAATGCATTCTTGTCTTAGGACAACTTTGATTAACTTCAAAGGTTGACTACTGTATATGCGTGCTTTCTGATGCCAACCTTGACAGATTTGGGGCAAGTCAATAACAGCCATTACATTACCCAAAAGCTCAGCGGTTTGGAAGCGGCAGCGTTTGGCTGAGGACTTCTCAAACTCCAGGGTTTTAACATTTCTGGAGAGAATTTCAAAAGTGCCATAGAACTGCTGTAGAGTAATATCCTATAACATAGGGAGACTTCAGGTTAAATTTCAGCCACACTGTCACAACTCCATTATGAGAATTTTAAAGTGGCTTCTGCAACTGGGCCCTGCTTGTGGTTTAAGTTGAACCTCATAAACGTATCCAATGGTAAACAGAGGCACAGCCAATATTAATGTGGTGCTGTCATTGGTCAGGATGTAGCCACGCTCCGATGCCAGCTGTGGGGTCAGGGTGTAAGACCCAATGGCAATGTCCCACAAGTAGTCATACTGCTGATGGTCCTTCATAAAGCTTATGCCATTGTCAGTACACATGCTGTCAAACACTGGAGGTACTGTGGAAACAATTAAAAACACCCCCTAAAATGTATGGAAGACCATACTACACTAAGTGTCAAAAGCGTTTGATTCATCTGAAAATAGTCTCATGTCCAAGATCTAAAACCATAACTTTTAAAATGCGGAAAAGTTAATGGTTCTTACTGGCATCAGCGACTAAAGCAGACACAGAAGAAAAGTGGTAATATGCCTCCATCTGAGGTATGATGTTCAAAGTCCATTTAATTTCCAGAGTGTACTTCAAAACGCCCACCGAAATGTACTGCAAGAGAGACAAAACACTGAAACCGAAGACGAACATTTAACACACGGGTCTGAAGTTACAGCCACTTGGTCTTACAAGCATGCAGCAAGTCCATAGAGCAGGGTTTCATAATACAGTTGTAAAATTCTCAAACATGGATACAAAATTCACATTAAGCTGTACACTACACAGCAAAATCTCAACTGCCTGCAAAAGTATCTTATCTTTATATAAATTTGGATCTAAAAAGCATCTGTCCATGCCCAACGTCAACTACAGTATACTTGCTTAAGTATACCACCCATGCATCTCAATTGCTTGAGCGGTCACAAAGCCCATGTTAAAGATCACTGTACTTCAACCTGCTAACATGAATGCATCAAGAAAGACCATGACTTTCTGTAAAACTGCTTTGAAACGGTGCATTACAAAAAGTCCTGACCTAGAAAACCGTGAACAAAAACAAACCTCACCTGCTTCACAACAAATTGGTCATCAAAAGGCACCCTAATGATGTACGCAAAGGTATTTTTGCCTTCCGAGACTCTGGTGATGGAGTACCCCATCTGTGCGGCAGTCAATACAGAGATCGCCTGCCCATTCAGCTCCACGGACACCAGTTCCACATCAGAAGGAATATTACCCAGGTAGACCTGGAAGACTCGCTCCTCAAGGGTCGTTTCTGGATGAGTCAGTACAGTTAAAGTAAACCCATCACCCAAAGAGAAGCAGCGATATGCCCAAACATTCGTTCCAACTCACGGTTAACTGAAAAGGATGGATGAGGAATTGGTGGAGTAGCCATCTGCCGGACCACATTATGCTTGGTCACCACACCATGCTGGTCCACAAGCATTTGCTGGTAGGTCAGCTGGACTATGTACAGCTCATTATACACATTTTCCATCACAAAGCTCTGTAGACAAACAAACGATTCATAATCTCCTAATCTACTTGCTTCAGGATGCATCAAAACTAATTCCAGGATCATACATGGATAAAACTTCATGGAGCATACCTTTCGTGTTCCTCCCTCAGCAGCAAAGGGGATGCTACTCTCTACGGTCTCTTCAGCAACGGTCACAGAGTAGCCTCGGTCTATCGCAGCCTGTTCATCTACAACCTCACCATCAACTCCTATGCCTACGTACTCGCTCCTCAACTCAGAGGGTCCAACAACCAGGGGAGTCATTACTGCAGGGGTCCTCCAGCGAAGTCTGTAGCCATCAAAAGAGCCTTTATCTGAAAGTTGAAGAATCAGTGTAAATATGGAACCTGAATGTGACACTTGCAGCTCTACAGAGAGTCAGTAACGGGGGGGGGGGGGGGGGGGGGGGGGAGATATGTACTCACTCCTGAACTCAGAGCGTCCAACAACCAGAGGAGTCATTACTGCAGGGGTCCGCCAGTGGAGTCTGTAGCCATCAAAAGTGCCTTCATCAGAGTAGTAAATTAACACAAAAAAAGGGGGGTCGTCAAACTGTCCAAATACAGAAGCGCTGAAGGCGACTCCTGTAACATTGTCCTGTAACATACACTCATCGTTTTAATACACAACAGTTTGTCCAGTTGTTGTTCTTACCAGTGTTAACTAAATTTCTTACCTAGTGAACAGGCAGCAACCAGGTCCACCATGACCACCATCCAGTTCTGTCTGAAAAACACTGTGGCTCGGATCACTTCAACCGCAACACCATTAACCTGAAACAAGTTTGATGCAGCAATTGAGATTACAAGGAAATCCTAACCGTTTAAATGCTTGAGATCAGGTCACATGCCCCTATTCAGAGAGTTAGATGACATTAACCACCATACCATTTTTACAGAAGCATGGCGTTGTCCAAAGGTTGTTCGAAAGACAAGTCTGCCAGGTGTGACCATTATGAAGTAGCCCAGAGTAGCAGCATTTTCAGTTGACATGACCTCAGACTGCTGGCCCTCTCGTTGTAGCATCACCTGCCAGGCCTCAACAGCTGAACTTTGGGCCTGGTTGCAAAAACAAAATGTACCAAAGACCACGATTTAAAAGTTAACTCCTTAAAGGGGTCATAATGCGATTTCAATTTTTCCTTTCTCTTTGGAGTGTTACAAGCTCTTGGTGCATAAAGATCTGTAAAGTTGCAAGACTAAAGTCTCAAATCCAAAGAGATATTCTTTATAAAAAGTTAAGACTTCTCCATGCCCTCCTAAAATGCCTAGTTTAAACACGCCTCCACATCACTGTGTGGGAAGATTTACATAACGCTGCCCAAATGTTCACGCAAAGGTGTAACTTCTCACTGTAGTATTGTTGCCGCCGCCATGTTGTGAAAGCGAAACTACTTTGTTTGGCCTCCTAAAAGGGGACGATATCAGCTTCATCATGCCTAGAGCTGATCCGTGCTGGTTGCTGAGGAAAAACCATCAACTTTGTGCTGTGGCTCGCCGGATCAGCCTTCACCGTAGCTGAAGCGGAGTCCAGCCAGGGGTCATCACAAATGCAGACATGGTTTTGAGTTTACGCGGCGCAATACATAACACAGTACAAGTCATTACAATCAGTAATTATGTCCCCACTGGATGCAACAAATGCCTCGTTTGTAAAGGGTTGTCTCATCGCGCCGGGACACATGGAAACCATAGACTATGATGGAAACGCAGTATGGTAAGGGGCATAACATTTCTGTCACACGCTTGAGGTATTCAGCCAATCATAACGCACTGGATAGCTGGCCAATCAGAGCACACCGCTTTTCAGACCGATGAGCTTTGTGAAAATCGACACATTTCAGAAAGGCGGGGCATAGAGGAGAAACCATGTACATTGTGGAAAATAACATGCTTTTTGAACCTTAAACATTGCATTACACCAAATAATGTTCTTTTTAGCAA